TATATATATATTCATATGACTCCCCTTAAATGTCCATTGTATTAAGAATATATCCCATTAAAACTTTATTAAGAAAAAACTTCATGAGAAAATAATCATAGTAAAGAAAAACGATTGCATAATTCTTTGCAAGAATATGCTTTTCAAATATTGACTCATTAAAAACCTTATTAAGAAAAACCCAAAGAAAAAAACCCTGATGAATAAAAAAAGTGTAATGTGTATTTTACTCATCCTAATAATTGCACGCATTCTAATATTTTATACCAACTTTTCAAGTGTTGTAGTATGAAAGGTTTTAGTGAATAAATCTACTACACCGTCACTTGAACAAATTTGTTAAATATTAATATCACATTTTTCTTAAAGATCATGAGTGAGGAAGAATTTTTATGAAATTTATTTTGTGTTATCACCTTTAATGTATTTTTCCTTTAACTAGACTATGCAAACGATATGTTATCTCCATATAATATTGTTGGAATTTCCTTCTTGGTTAATAAGTAACACGTTTCTCAAATATTTGATAAATAAATCTTAACCAGACACTTTCACAACTTCCCTGATGAATTGTTAAAATTTTTGTATAGTTAGAAGAAGTAGCAACTGTAATTTGTTTTACAGAACACTATGAAATAGTTGTACCTTGACATATGAATAAGTAATCTATCTAGTATCAAGCCTTGTATGGAACAGATAAATATTCTACATTCACATAACCAATTAAATCTGATTTGAATACATTTAAATAATATAAGCTCATGTCTATTATTCCTCAAAGATATTTAAATGTATGTTTATTTTTATTCCAATATCTTTGAGTCGGAGAAGAACTATATCTTACTAATAAATTTATAACAAATGATATATTAAGTTGTGTATTGCTAATAGGATATATTAGCGCTCCGATTGTATTAAAATATGGTACTTCAAGATCAAAAAGTTTTTCATCATTCTCATGAGGTTAGAAATGGTTTTTTTTTTTCACATCTAGTGACTTTACAAACATTGGTGAACTCAATGGATGTGTATTATCCACATAGAATCATTTTAGCACTTTTGCAATATGATTTGATTGATGGACAAAAATTTCATTTATCAAGTGCTTAATTTAAAAACCCAAATAAAACTTATTTTTTCAAGATCTTTCATCTCAAATTCTTTCTTTAAGTAATCCACAATTTTTGATAACTCTTTTAGAGTTTTAATAATGTTTTGGTCATCATCAAAAATAGCAATTATAACAAATTCAAAGCTAATTTTTTTTTTAACAAAAACACATGGGCATATAAGATTATTTTTATAGCTTTCTTTTAACAAATATTTACTAAGGTGATTATATCATATGTGTCCAGATTGCTTTAATCTATATACATATTTATTTAATTTGATCAAATAAATTTCTCAAGATTGTGTACATGCCTTAAGCAACTTAAATCCTAGATTTTCATATAGATATCAATATCAAGTAAGTCATGTAAATAAGTTGTGGTAATTGAACGCATTTCGATCTTCTTATATATTATTATACTAGCTAAATAAAAAAAATGTAATTACATCCAACATTACAACATATGTCTCTTCATAATCAATATTAGATCTTTGGATAAAATCTTGTGCAATAAGCTATCGTTTATATCTCACAATCTCATTTTTCTTATTTCGTTTTCAAACAAATATTCATTTAGATCTCATTGGTTTTAAACCATCTGTTGTATGGACTACAAGTCTAAAAACTTCACATTTTACAAGTGAAGTCAATTCTACTTTGGTTGCGTTTTTTCACATTGGCTAATCATTTCTATATTTACATTTTTCAACGGATGTAAGTTTAATATCCTCATTTTTTTCACAATATTGAACGTTAAATTAAATGAAAAAATATCATCGATGTTTATTTCATTATGATCTCATTGTTTTCGTCATAACATAATTTATTGACATTTCTTTATTTTCAATGATTTCAAATACTTGAATCTCTTTTGAAATTTTATCAATTATTTTAGGAGTCTCTTCTAAAGTTTATGTTTCCTCTTTTTGACCATATTGTATATTTGTTCTTTTTTTTTAAGGATTTTATCTTTAGAACCTATTGGTTTTTTACGCTTCTGGTGTGACTTGTCCTATAGGGACATTAATTCTAATAAGAGTATTTGTGGCTGGTATATGAGATTTATTTGTTCTTTTTAAGTCACTAAATACATCTAGCAACTGATTTGCTATATTTTACAAATATATTATCTTTTGAACATTAAATTCATATTGATTTGTGTAAGAATTAAAACTAGATAATAATAAAACATTCCAAGAAATTTTTTTTTTCTAGCCACTTGTTTCTCCCCCTTTTGCTAGAAAAACTGTTTCATCAAAATGAAAATCGATAAGTTTTATCATGAATAAATCTTCTGTTAATGGTTGTAAATATTTAATTATAGATAAGATTCATATCCAACAAATATTCCTAACTTCCTTTGAGGACTCATCTTTGTACATTGTGGTGGAGTAATTGGGACATATATTGCACATCCAAAAATTTTTAAATAAAAAAATTCGATTCTTGACCATAAACCAATTGTATAGGGGAGAATTTATGATAATTCATTAGTTTGATGCATATAAGTGTTGCCGCATGCAAAATGGCAAGCCCTAAGTAGAAATGAAGAGTTTGTTTTCATAAGCAATGACTTTACAATTAGTTGGATATGTTTAATAAACGATTCTACTTGATTATTTTATGTATCAACATAAACAACAAGTTGTTCAGTAGTTATTCTAACTAATATGTAATATTTATTAAAAGCTTTAAACATAAATTCATTAGCATTATTAAGACGAATTGTCATGATTATATAATTACAAAAATGTGTTCATAAACAAATGATTTGAACAAGTAATTTTGCAAATGCTAAATTGCAAGTTGATAATAAGTACATGTGTGACCATTTAGCTGATGCATCAATTAAAATCATAAAATATCTAAATAGTTCACATGGTAAATATATGGGTTCACATATATCACCTTGAATACATTTCAAAAATGTATTTCACATGGTGGACGTATGGGAGATTCAGTTCCAACTTTAGTTGGTGATAGTCTTATAATTAATTTACCTTGAAAGCAAGCAGCATATCAAAATTCATTAAATTGAAAAATCTTCTAGATTTTCAATGAATAACCACATGTATTTCAATAATTTTTGCATCATTATTGATCCACGATGGCCCAACCTGTCATGCCAAACATTAAAATCATTAGTAAACTTTTGATTTATTATAGCATGAGTTTCAATCATTCTAATATTTGTGTAGTATAATCCAGAGAACCAAGCAGGTAGTTTTTTTAACACATATGTCGTACTTAAGATAATAGATGTAATATAGAGTTATTAATTGTCTATTTTATTTGCTGTCTCAATATGATATCCATTCAAATGAATATTTTTAAAATTTAATAATTTTTTTTAAACTTAGTAGAAAATAATGCATCTTTTCTTATAAGTTTTGTTCTTCCAAGTAGTAAAATATTAGTTTTTTTAAAGCTTTTAATAATCTTGTACTACCAGATATTATATTAATATTTGTTTCTTATATTTTCAAGTGGAAAAAATATTTTTTATTTTTAAATATAGTGTACATTATAGCATTATTTGCTAGACATATATTTGTATTATTGATCTTGGATCCAACTAAATGAATATTCGTATTTTAAAATAAGAAATATAGTAAAAAACTTATAAGTTATCATAAGAGAACATTAAATATAGAATTTATTATTAAAACACATAATAAGAACATATCATTTAAATATAATGAGAACATATAAAACATATTCATAATAAAGTTAGACTAAAACATACTAACAAACTATTAAGAAATTTCATTTTTGGATATTTACATAACTAATAAGATGATCAATTCTTTCTTTAGGATAGACAAGAAAATTAGTAACATTCAGATGTATTACATTAATTGGGTTATGGTTAAAATCATCTTAAATAAAATTTATTTTGATATATATTTTTTCGTTTTATCATTCAATGATAATTGATAAAGTTCAATAAGATATTTGAATGTATAACAAGTATGTAACTAATGGCCTTTCATACCACATCGATGATATATATTTTTTATATTTCTTTTATTTAGTCTATTTTTATTTTTTTTGTTATATCTCTTCAATATTCATCTACTTTTGATGGTTAAATGTCTCTATTTACTTCCGGTGGTTAAATGTATCCATCTATTTTTGGTAATTAAATGTATCTATCCACTTTAAATAATATTCTCATTATTAGAATAGTTATATATGCAATCACCATGATTACAATTATTATGCTCTTTCACGCCCATATAATAGACATTTATACATATATTTATAATAATATATGATTAATCTTTTAAATAATTTTTGAAAATTTTGCATGGCTAAATGCTAATACCTTTTCATAGCAATTCCAGGTGGGTCAAGCAAAATTTCAGATATTATTTGGGTAATAATCTAGTAGCAAGTGGTCCATTATTTCAAAGTTTTGACCATGAATATTTAAAGCAATACCTTTTCTTATGTTAAAGGAGGATTAATCGTATAGGGTGATTGGACAAGATTATGGAGAGGTTAGAATAATGCTACATTTAAGGGGTGTTTGGTACAAGAGAAGTTAGTAATATTTCTTATAATGTAAATGATAAAGTTTTACAATGTTTGGTGAGAAAAAATCAATTTAATGTTACATTGCATTGGCATCATATTACACCAAAATGGGAAATCATATTCTCATTGAAAATCAATGTAATGTTACTTTTTTATTAACTGAGAAAGTAAAAAAAATCTGATTTTACCATAATTGCCCATTTCCTTTGGGGAACAAAGCCCCAACCCTTCCCTCAGGCCCCTTCCGTCCAAACCCTAGGAGCCATTTAGCCGTTGGTTTCTTTCTTCTTCTAGCTTCAAATTTGACTAGATTTTTTTTAGTTTTGAGTTTTTGATTTCTTCTTCATCTTTTTCTTCTTCAAACATACAAACAGTTACTATTGAGTAGATTTAATAATTTGTGTTTATTTTAATTATATCATGAAAATATAAAGTATTAACAGTTATATAGATAAATATAAAAATAAAATGATTAATTAATATTAAACACATGTATAACTATGTTTAATAAACATGTAACACAATACAATATGTGAACACAACTAAATAAAAGGATAATAAGCCAGTCATGAATTATATAAGTATACGATAACACAATTAAAGACTACTTAAAAATCTAATGTTGCTAACGAAGAAAGTTTCAATGCGTAAAAAAAAAAATCATTTAAAGGCTTATTGCAAAAGTAAATTAAATTAGATAAAGTATAATTTTTTATGCAATTTCCCCCTAAAATCTATTAGGTAATTAATAAGAAACCATCAACTATCAATCCCTTGGTGAGAAATTGACGTGTCTTGAAAAAAAATGGTTAGATTTATTGAATGAATGATGTTATATATAAATATTTACATTAAAAAAACAGATAAATATATTAAATTTTTATTTTCATATATAATGATAATTTTAAAAATATCACATATACATCTTTTTTGTACTTTTAATTATTGATATTTTCTTATATATCAAATGCTATAGCGATATAATTACATTATCAGTAATTAGGTTTCAACAATTGGGTTAGGATGATGTATCCGGCTGAGTTGGCCCAGAATGTAACTCAAAGTAAATTGGGTTCACGAGACAGCCAGAAAGCCCCGTGAAAGCAGAACACCGGCTGGAAACAACTGGTTCCCACATCTCCATCATCCTAATAAACATTTTCAACCACCCAAAACGAGAATTCTCTCTTAATTTGTCCTCATTACTCATTTACCTCGCCAACTAGTCTTTCCTTCTTCATCATTTCTTAACCTCTCAAAACTCTTTCCATTCATACAAACAAACGGAAAACTAAAAGACCATAGTTAGAACTAAGCCAAGAATACCAAAAGAAGAAAAATCATGGGCATAATGGAAAACTCGCCAACTGCCATAGCCCCTTTGCTACTCAGAAATATGGTAACTTCTGTATTTATTTATGCTGACAAATCCCTCTTGAACTTAGCAGAAAAATACAAGCTACTTGAACTAATTCGCGCTGTTGTCATCACTTCTTTTCTCTTCTTCCTGCGCTTACTTCCTTCTCTGATCCCTTCTACTTTACACCCTCAAGCCGATGATTACACGTTTAAGCACCCCCAGAACCATAGCTACGTGGCTGCAGCCTGTGGGGTTGGCGACTCGGGAATCGCTCGTGCGCTGTCACAGCTACTATCAATCGTTAATGACATTCCTGTTAGCTCAAGAAAGTATGAAATTGTCCGATCGTTAGCGGAAAGGCTTATAGAAGAGAACCGTAAGGAAGACGTCGAAGCTTTGCGTGAAGTCAACCGTACCGTTTTGTCAGCTGCTTTTGCGAGGACTCTTAGACAGCTTGAAGCTGCAATGGTTGAATTGGGGCAAGACATGGCTGGTCTCGATGCCCCGGAACCTGGACCGGTTCGGTATCGGTTGAACAGGGTTTTACGGGTGATTCGATCGGTCGGAGATGGCGTGTGGAGTAGGGTGGGGATGGGGAGAGAGGATGTGAATCGGTCGGGGAATTCGGCTCAGAAGCTGGCTGCTGAGCTGCTTTGGTTGGCGCAGAAGTTAACCGCTTGTGGGTTTGAGGAAGAGGCTGTTGAGAGGTGGGCGTCAACTTCAAAACTGGCTTGGCTTTCTCTTTCAGCTGAGCCGCGGCTTCAATGTTCCCTGGTTAAGGTTTCGGGTACGTTTCCCCATTCTACTTCATCTGTTATTTAAAATCGGTACTTGGAATTTTTAGTTTTTCCTTAGATACTATTCAATTTACTCACCCCCGTTTGGATTTAGATTTGAATAAGAATCTCAATTTAAAATATATTATCACTAAGCAATAGGGTGATTAGCATTTAATTAATTCATGAAATTCAGCTTTTAAATCGAGTGACTGCCTGATTCTGCATGAACTGGACAAGAATTTTGTTGCTGAACTTTCACCTGTTGATATCGATATGGTTAACAAATGGTGGTACCCCAAAGCGAGGTAAAAGACTTGTAAAAAGCCTAGGCCTTTAGCGTTAATTACCTCCACCTATGCTGTTGCCTGACAGGCTCAAGGTTAAAGAATATTCTTCGAGGAAGGACTTATTCCTCCTAGCGCTTGGTTTGTTTTACGCCAATCTCGCACCTTGTTAATGTTATTTGACCAACATTAGGGTGGTCTTCATCCCCTTTGGTCCATTTTTTCTCATCCATCGCAATTCACGACCTGTCCTGTGTTGTCCTTTCTCCTACAATTTTCAGCTCATGAATCATGACTATGACTTCTGCCTAATTTTAACTTGATTGCTTTTTAAATATTATTCTCATTCTTAGGATTTGGAATTAAATCTACTGTAGCACAGCACGTCTTTATACCTGGACGTAGACTTTGATTAGTTTATAATAACAAAATTTCAGTTGTTTCGGTGTGAAATGTCATACATGAGATCTAGCTCAAGGTGGAGCTGACGTGCCGCCACCCATACTTGACCGTTTAAGCACATTAAAAATATTAACAACCAATTATCACTGCAGGAAAAAAATTTTTAATGCTGAATTAATTTATACTAATTATAAACCATTCTTAAGGAAATGTCACATTCGAGGTCTTCAACCAGCAATGGACGTGCCTTGGTTATAAGTCATTGCTCCAAGTGCAAAGTATTGGAGGGAAGGATGATTTGAAATGAGCTTTTACTCGATACTGTTGTGAAAATTATAAAATTATATTTAAATAGTTATTTAAATTTTTTTTAATTAATAAAATAAAAAAAATCAAATACATTTATAAAAACATAAGAATTTATGTGATTTAGTTTTTTAATGACTTACGTCTACGGGTATTTCAACAAAGAAAGATCTATTAAAAGAAAAATAAAGAGATTACAATAATAGTCTCAAACTCATAACCTTTATCCCATGTACATTCAAATCACTCTCTCTAAATCTAGGTGATGATTATTCTTTAACATCATAGGATCCTTTTATAAAGTCAAGTACAATAATCTTATTCTAATATAATTCGAATATTTATACTAGTCTAACTATATTTAAAGACTATCTTAGAAAGGTATACAAGTTTAATTAGAATTAAACAATCCTAATCAAACTATAATTTAAGACTATCTTAACAAATCTCCATCTTAGGCTTGAATTCACCAAGCTCCACTTTACGAAACAATCTTTGTCAACACTACTAATACCCCAAAAGGCCTCAAGCACTATGAACACCAACCAAGTCCAACCAATGCTTGAACTTTATCCCAGAAACTTATTAACCATATTTGCTGAATTTTCAACTGTAGTTATTTTCTTCACTACAATCTCATATCTAAAAACAATCTTTCGAACAAAGTTACACTTGACTTGGATGTGATTAGTTTTCTTATGAAACATTTGATTTTTAGTCAAGTGTATGACACTTTGACTATCACAAAACACAAGTATATATGCTAGTCCAAAACCAAGATCACTAACCAAGCCTCGGAGTCATAAAACCTCATTCACTGCCTCGGTAACAACCATATATTCAGCTTTAGTTGTAGACAAATCAACGGTTGATTGAAGAATTGCTTTCCAACTGACTGCAGACGCTGAAAGAGTAAACACATACTCCATTTGAGATCTTTTACTATAAAGATCACCAGCAAAATCAAAATTGGATAAGCTAATCACACTATAACTACTATTTGCAACTCTTTCATACAGTAATCAAACATCAATAGTACCTTTATGTGTTTTCACGGGTTCCCATATTTAATCCTAGTGTAAAGACTCTATCTTCTTAGAAGACTTGGCACATGTAATTACCTCACAATAAAAGTAAGGCTAATCAATCTCTACTTCTACAAACAAAACATAAAAATCAAAATCTCTATTGACACAAGTAACGAAATTATCGTATTTCTTAGATACTCTTGAAGTCCTTGTAATAATGCTTCGTTCTTGTATATGAGATATAAATTCTTGTACCTCTTGCTATGCATTCTGGATTTCACTATCATCTTGCATTGTCTTAAGAGCATTGATTTCAAGCTCTACCTACTTGCCAACTGCCTAGTTTAATGTGTTTGCAATTTTAGACTTATCCCATGAAGTAATGCAGATTTGTCAAAGGTAACATCCTGACTCACCATAAACTTAGGGAACTTACAATTAGTACACCACCATCAATAACCTTTCACCTCATATGCTTAGATTAGAAATATGCACTCCGTCGCCTTCAGCTCAAGTTTACCATCACTCACATGAGCATAAACAAGACAATAAAATACTCTTAATATAGAGTAATCAGTGGGCTTATTAGACCAAACTTCCTCGGGAGTCTTAAATTCAATTGTAGTTGATGGAGATTGATTTACCAAGTAGTAGCCATGTTGATAGCTTCTGTCTAGAATCCTTTAGATACGTTAACATTAAAGAGCATGCATGTTGCTTTCTCCAGAAGTGTTCTCTTCATCCATTCTACAACACCATTTTGATGTGGTGTTTTGAAGATAGTGTGATGTCTAACTATTTCGTTATTCTTGCAGAACAAACCAAAGTCACATTTGTAAAATTCCAAGCCAATGTTTGTTCGAAAGCTTTTGATCCTTTTCTTAGTCTACTTTTTGATCAATCTTTTCCAATGCAAAAAGGTGGTCAACACTTCACTTAGAGCCCTTAGAATATACATCCACACCTTTTTTAAAAAATCATTAATAAAAGTTCACATGTATAATGATCCACCTTTTGATGCCATCAAAAAAGGATCTCACAAATCTGAGTAGATGTGGTCTACTTTACTTTTGGTTTGATGTGTAGTAGTGCTAAACTTCACTCGATGTTAATTCCCATAGATGCAATGCTCATAGAATCTAACTTCTTAGTCTTTTGACCTTACAGTAAACCATGCTTATTCAATTTTGTCATTCCTTTCTTGCTCTATAACCCAATCTCATATGTCATAAACATGTAACATCATCATAAGGATCATGTGATGAGACTACAAAAGTAGTTCCAATAATCGTACTTCCTACTAGATGATAAAGGCCAGTAGATAACTTACCTTTCATGATAGTTAAGGCTCCTTTAAATACCTTCAAGACACCATTTTGGCCATTATTTTATAGTCATTCTTATTTAACAAATTCAAAGATATCAAATTCTTTTTCATGTCAAAAACATGTTTCACCTCAAATGTCCTTATTATACCATCAAACATTTTGATTCAAATTGTGCCAGCCAATAATTGAGAAAGAAAAATAATCTCCTCATTATATAGTGCCCATATCAATAAATTGATAAGTTGTAAACCAATCACGCTTAAAACATATGTAGAAGCAACAAACATAATCCAAGATCTATGTATATTTTAAGTTACTATTAGTAACTACAAGAACACTATCAACTTCTTCAAAAGTATCAAAATCATCTTCAATCATGTTTGCAATATTTTCAGACTTGTTGATCTTTTCATCATTCTTGAATTTGGTACAATTTTGATGAAAGTACCTTTTTTTTATCACAATTCCAGCAAGCTTTTCATTTTGCTCTAGATTTACTTTTTCTGTTTAAGCCCTTCTCTTTATCTTTTCCTCTATTAACAGCTAGGCGTTCTGCTTGATTTTCATTTCGAAAACCACCAAATTTCTTCTTCTTCAATTCTTTGGAATTTAAATATGCCTTTTTATCTTTGAAAGTGAGAGTTTCTCGGCCATAAAACATAGTATCCACAAAGTTTTCATACAATAGAGGTAAACATAGAAAAATTAGGACTAGGTCTTCATGTTCAATTTTAATATCAATATTTTTTAAATTAAAAATAACTTTATTAAATTCATCAATGTGGGTATTAACAAACGTACCTTCACACATCTTTAGAGTATATAATCATTGCTTCATATAAAGCCTATTTGTTAGGGATTTGGTTATATAAAATCCTCTCAAGTTTAAGTCACACTGCAACACTAGATTATTCATTCGTTATTTCTCTTAACACCTCATCAGACAAAGCTAGAAAAATAGTACTATATGCTTTTTCTATGAGGTCATTTTTCTCACCATTAGATAAATTCGAGGGAAGATGGCCTTTTTCCTTTAGTGCCTTCAACTGTTTGCACTAGGAATGCGTGCATCTTAACATGCCACTAGCTGAAATTGTTTCTTCCATTAAGCTTTCAATCTCATACTTGGTCTACAAAGTTACCTTCGCGAGATTTTGATTGATTCAAGACCTTAAAGCTCTTATACTAGTTTGTTGTAGAAAACACAGAATTATTTTTTAAAGAGTTGTCTAAGATCTTACCTAAATAATAAAATAAAGAAAGAAAGAAAAAAATCAAGTACGCCTACAAGAATACAAGAATTTACGTGGTTTAGTCTTTTGATGACTTATGTTCATAAGCATAGCAACAGAGAAAGATTTACTACGAGAAAAGTCAAGAGATTACAAGAACAGTCTCAAACTCACAACCTCATCTCACGTACACTTAATTCATTTTCTCTAAATCTAGGTGATGACTATTCTTTAAACCCATAGGATTCTTTTATAGGGCCAAGTGCAATAATCTTATCTTCATACAATTAAAATATATTATACTAGTCTAACTAGATTTAAAGACTATCTCAAAAAGGTATACTAGTTTAGTAAGAATTAACAATCCTAATCAAATTACAATTCAAGACTATCCTAACAAATACAAAGAGGTTGTGTATGAGGTCTCTAACAGACTGCTTACAGATCTTGGGTTAGTATTTGCCTTTATGACTGAACATTTTCTAATTTTAGAAGAGGAGTTGCTGAATAAGTAGTCTTAACCTAGCAAATTTAGAATCCATGACTTTGACTCCAAATATCTGCAACCTACTAATTATACATATTTGTTAAGTGATGACAGCAAAGATCATGCTTTGAGAGAGTTACCATTTTAATATTTCAATAGAATATGAGGACTCAAAAGAAAGGTTGTGATTTGATAAATGAATATTTGGGAAGTTCTAGTTGAAACTTTTAATTGTCACAGTTATTTATTCAAGACAAATATGTTTCAGTATAAAAAAGAGTCTCTTGGATTTATCTGAACATACACTCCTATTCTTGTTCCTTATTTTTGCTTAATTATTCAAATATGCAGCATTCCTGTTCAAACAAGCCAAGGATATGGGGCTGGAAGTAGAAGAGACTGAAGAAGGCAACAAAGAGAACCTCAGGCAAACGAAGCTGAAGATGCTAACATCATGGTTGCCATTGCTATGCAGAGCTAGCAATGGCACCGATGCACCAGTGCTCAGCATTAGTGAAAGAGCTGAGCTAGAGACGTTATTAGAAGAGACCATTGAAATGCTAGAACAAGAGGAGCAAGAGCAAGTACTCTCCCTGTGGCTTCACCACTTCACACATTCACCATCCTCGGACTGGCCCAACCTCCATGAGTCATATGCTCGCTGGTGTACCACTTCTCGTAAGCTCTTGCTCCTCCATTGAAGATATTAACCAGGATATATCTTGTGTATCGTATGCAAGAATAGGAACCTGTTAAATGTTATGATTCTTCCTTCTATAAATCTTTTTCTTGTATCATGTGATCGGATTTAACATAAAAGAGAACTGGAAAATATTAGCTAGTCCCATGCAGTCGTGGGGTCTAGCTACTGTGAGAGGTTTCTTTTTACAAGGTTACAAGTATTAAATACCAAATAAAAGTATACAAAATAAGTTACTTATAATCATTTTAATGTTTAATGATTACAGAGCCAAATAGTCAAAAACGATTATGAAAGACAACGGAAATTACTACAGGACAAACTGCTTTGAGTAGATATCGAATTTCTCTGATGAAGATAGCTGTGGCTCCTGCAAATCAAGAATTCATTTCGTTAACTTGTTTCTTCAACTGTCATAGTGTTTATCAAATTAGGTAAAGAAGAATACCTGCGTTGTTGTTCCAAACAATACTTTATTAATGAGAGTTGCAATCGGACCATTTAGGCGTAAACCAGCTTTAACATCACGAATCGCATTGCGCATTGCATTAAGCAAGCGGCCATACGTTAATCGAGGCTCATTTTGCACAGCTTGGATGAAGCTGAATGTCATGGCACCGGTCCTGGTATTTGTTCCAGTGAAAGCCTACAAGAAAACAATTCAAACAACAATCTGAGCTAATTGATACTAGTTAACTTTTATGTATTAAAGAGATAAAACGATATTCTTTCCTTTTTTCTACTTCTTTCTTGTTATAATGTTTAATTCCTAATTGCAGCTGAGGGCCTGAGGCTTAACTTCATTATTAACTAGTCACACTTTCAAAAGGAAGGTTCCAAATTCGAATTCCCTTCTCCCATCTTAACCATAAATTTATGAAACCTGATCAGACCCTTTCCAGGTAGATAATTAATCAGGTAAACCTGATAAAAGAGTAACTCACAGTGGTATCTGTAGAGATTTGATTATCATCACAAGCACTAAAACAGAAGGCTAGTCCACCACTTGTACCCTTGTAAAAGAAAGGGTTTCTCTGATCTTCCCATATATAGAACCCTTCCCTACATAATTAAAAACGAAATGTAGCAGAAAATATGAACCGGATGTTCTGGAAGAAGTACGTTTGTATAAGACAATGATGGACTGCATATTAGTGAAGCCTGACAAAAAAAGATTAAATTGATTAATAGCTGAAGCAAAGAAATTTTGCAAATAACTAACTTGTTCATCCTGCAAACATAAGGCAGATCAAGAACAGTTCCGCTGTAGCAGGCATCAACGATTGCATGCAGTGTGGCTCCTCGAGGGAGTGGCCTTACAATGGTGTCATTTATTTCATCATCGATTATATTCCCTTCGGTCTCATGATCGAGAGGGCACAAGGCTTCATCGTACCCATCAACCTCGTCATGGTTATAATCAAGTTGGCGTGTGCCATGGCCAGAGAAGTAAAACACTAACGAGTCCCCTGACTGGCAACCATAGACCAGCCATCTCAGTGCTTTTCTGATGTTCTGTTTTGTTGGGATCTTGAAAGGATCGGTCTCATCTTCTGAAGATCGATTTAAGCAGAGTTAACATAAATAAAATGGAATTTATGGGACTGCTTCGGGCTTCTTTCTTCCTAAATATTGCCTATTTTTTAATAATAATAATAATAAAAATCTTGCGGATTTAAGCCTGAGGATAATTGTTTGCCATAGCAATTCTAATTTTTCCACAGTTATACCTAAGGGTGATCATAACGCCTGACTTTATTGCCATATTTTTTTCAAAATTCCAATATCCAAAAGTAAATTTTCTTGTAGTTACCCCCGCCTTCATTAGCTTATAAATATCAGGTTATTGTTAGGTTAAAATTTTCCATCAAATAAACCTGACTGTTAACGGGGAAATATTGCGGGAACTGTCACTTGTTTGCAACTGAGCTTTTCCCGACCAAAATTTTTAGTTGTTATCTACTCAACTAATCAACTTAACGCAGCATGGATTACAAGAAAAAGAGTTGAAAAAAAAAAAAAAGGAAAAAGGTACGCCACCTGTGAGCATGAGTATGGAGTCATTAGGAAACCGCAGTTTCTCTACAAGAAGGTACCTCATACACTTGACATCGTTGATGCTTCCTTTGAGCCTGTAACTCTTGCCATGGTAATTTACTCCGCAAAGAAGTGCCCTTTTCCTTCCGTGCACTGGAACAGGAGATAGAGAAAGTGTTGGCTGCGGAGGCCGCTGATGAGGACCGTACACATAGGGTATTCCAGACGTCCCTGCCCCAAGATAGCTATCATAACCAAGCCAGCCACATGTTAACTTACCTGGACACTCTGTCAACAATCTGACTGTAACAAACAAACATAAGACTAATAAAAATGAAAAAGAAAGAAAACCTGGTCCGGCCTGGTCCTATAAATGAGTCATGGACATGACCCCAATGGCCATTAGGCTGAATGTTGCTGGTAACTTGGGTGTTGGTATTGGTAATGGCTTGGCAGATGGCACAACGGATAGTTTGTGCCTCTGGTGGAACCAGCAGGTACAGCCCACATCCACTGCATCGTTCTCTTCTTGCCATTGCCTATGCTTGTGGATTCTGAAAGTACGGCGATTGGTTTCTCCAATAAAAAAGAAGATTTAAGGCTTTAAGGGTGGAATGGAAATAGTGAAAGGATTGGTGAGTAAGCTAGATTTTCTTCTCATCATCTTAGACATATTCGATCCCGAGAGGAAATTGGTGGAGAACCAGATTCAGCTTCTTTTTTTCCTTTAGCGGAATAAATATCTTTGCACCTGTGTAAGCAGATAAGATTCGTCGTGGTCTGCTAGTTTTCTGGTCAAATCAACTTGATCGTAATCCATTATGATCTTCAAAACAGAGCCAGACTGGATAATGGTGACATCTCGAGAGAGAATCTCAAGCTTGTTAGACTGAAATTTGTGAAATACATCACAGAATTGATCTGACTTCCTTCAATATTAATTACTGCTTTAATTAAGCATGGTTCCTCATGTATCATAAACATAATCTTGTGAGGCCTGTTAATCTCTAGCTATGTTGTGTCAATAACAATAACTAGAAATCAATTCCAGTAATGATAAAAGGAGATTGAATTACGGTCTCTCTACTGTCAAACTTTTTGGATTTGGCTCTGAGAAATCTTCATGGAGTTATGTTTAGTCCGGATAACTCTTCATTCTGAACAAGTAGCTTGAGAAGATTTGTTTCGTAAGTCCTGCCAGAAAGTTTGGCACTAATGTCAAATTAATTTAATTAATTGTTGTATTTTGAGAAATTGGTGAATGCCTGGGAAGCTAGACTAAACATTTTTTGTTTCAGGGTATTTAAGAACTAAACATTATTATTCACAAAACTAAAGATCCCTACTCATGAATCTACTTGAGATGAGGGACCATCACTTCTAGGGTATCAAATATCTGCATCCCTCTTTTTGGGCTACATCTAGACTATGATCCTACTTATAATTTTATCCGTGATATGTCATTCTTGAATTCTGGTATCCTTCTTACTTTCCTACCTCTTTTTGGGAAAATATCACTTCTCTTTCTTTTACTATTATTCAATGTCCAATGTGAGTATCGGTCACAAGCTTTCTTATATTGGAATGAACAATCAATTTTTGTTCTTTCCCAGTGGAAAGGGAAAATCAAAAAAAGAAATATTACCATCTTAAGTGGTGACCAAAAATGCCAAGATCATGACAGATTAATGATTCAAGGAACTGGAAGAGAATATTAATTAGATTCATCTTGTTGGGTCTTAGGAGTCTATACAGGATGTTTGGTCTGATCATCTCTTCAATATTCGGTATACAAAAGTAACCTCTAATCATAATTTAGGTGTATGAATTTTGTGGCTAATTGTGCGAGCCCTTTCTTTAATTAACCATTTTTCTTGTGAGTCTTAATTACATTCCAAATCAACCAAAAAGTTAACATTTTTTTCTTAAGAATTAGATTCTCAAATCATGTACCATCTTTAAATTATACAAATATTATCTTATATTCCCAATTTATACGATACATTTAATTTCCAATTAGCAATCGCAAGACTCTTGAAATTCAGTGTGATAGAATTTCTAAAAAGAATAAATGGAGAAAAAGACCCTGATCATTGACGATAAAGTTGCATGGCCACTCATCATGAATTGCTATGCCTTTGACAAAAGAAGAGAGTAACATGCTTCTTCCATTCAAATTTCCAATTTGGACACCATTTGCCACTTGGGGAATAACTTGTCTTGTCTGATCAATCGTGCGAATCTTTGTCAGAAATTCTCTTTGTTTTTGCCCCTTTTTAAAATCATTTAAATTTATGCAAATCAGGCGTGGCACCATATTCGTTTCCTTTGGCTACGACGAATGGCGGGCAGTCTCAAATGAATTTTCCACTCCCAATCCCCAAATACATGAATTTAGTTTTCAATCAAAATCCAAGGAACATTGAAATTGGAAAAGCAATTAGGAATCGTCCACGTGACGAGTGAAGAATAAAGTTTCTTCTTTGTGTGGACAGATCTCAGTGTTAGTCACAGATGCACATGCCATAGTAAAGAGCTTTTTATTCTCGTCCCAACAACATTACAACATTCATTATTTTCGATGCATTTGATATTACACAAAATCCAAAGTCAAATTAAATGTCTTAGGCACACATCTGGATGGCCACCCACAAATGAGCTTTTATTTTCTCCAGGTTTATCGTGTAAAGATTTCATAGCTCTGAATTGGGTGGCGAAAACTCAAATTTACTCCTTATTGCTTTGCTTACATACTTCCTGCACGTATGCTTACAGCTCTGGATGTCACCGCGGGTAGACTCGCTTGTTATTGGCACCCTTCCAGTTCCACAAGTCTGTGGTTTCTTACAAGAACAAATGCTTTTTGTAAACATCAAACTCATGAGAAGACGAAAGAAGTGGTGTCTATCCATGAGAAATCACAAAAAAGGAAACCAAATCAGTTCCTCAAGTATAAGAAGTAATTAATTAATTAATTAATTAAGCCATGATGAAAATAATCCTAAACCAGAAACTTTTGGAAATTTGAATTCTCCCATTATTTAGGCTTCCTGAGAATTGTTTTGTATGTTTATGCATTGAAAAAAAGGTAAACCAGATGAATATTGCAGGGGGAAATTTGAAGAATTGATTTGTTTGTGTTTTTTGAGAGAAACCGACCTGTGATAATCTGTAATCGAAGAGCCTCCTTAAGATTCTTGTATTAACAAGGCATCCTTGATTAACGTTATCAATGGTCTCATGGATTAAATCAAATAGGTCCCCATATGTTGGGCCCGGAAATGTCTTCAGAACCTCCGCCAGAAGGTAGGTCAGAGCACCATTCATCTTCCCATTAAAGGCCTGCATTCATGTGGCCATGTAAATCATCCCATTATTATTATTAGGAATATAAAATAATTAGCAATCAAATTACTTGAACATTTTGAAGTCTTATAAATATACTGCGGCAGTTAATAGACAAAGATAAAAGCAAATAATTAAGTAGATTATCACTTACAGAGGTATCTGCGGCGGCTTGGTTATCTAGACAAGCACTGATAGAGATAGCTAATCCGCCATCTGTACGTTTGTTTGCACCCGATGGAGGACTGTCATCTTTCCATTTATTCCTGTTTGATCTCAATCAAATAAAGTGAAGGGCATCAAAATGTAGTTGAGTTGAGAACCGAATATTTATCTCATCTTCTTATAGTAGGAAAAAATAATATTCTTTTCAAGATAAAATTTAGGTAGGAGTGTTTTCCTTGAGTACCTAAAATTCTTCAATAAATCAAGTCGCGAGTTCTATACTGACTTAACATTAATCTTAATTAAAATATTATAACCTAATTTTTTTTACTAATTTTTAGCTCTTTAATTTAAGTTATTAGTATTTAAACATTTGACTCTGGTTAGTGCATGATCTT